CACACACAACAGCATAGTGGGGAACCTCTGACTGTGTTCACCTACAGAACAAAACTTCTAAGCATTCTCTGATTTGAGCAGAATTTTTTTTGTACTTGAGTGAAGAGCTTTGCTTTAAAATCCAAAAGCACTGACGTTGTCTATAAACAGAGTGAATGCAAATACTTGCTGCCCCAGTGACTTACAGTATGTATCATGAGTCACAGTGTCCTGATGTTTCAGTAGCTTACTCCTGGTCTCCTGCACTGTGCTTTTAGCACAAGAGTTTTGGCTGAGATTTGCTTGTGAGGTGTAAAAATGTACATAATGTGACACAAAGCGGATGGTGTGTAAATTGATCAACAATTAGTGCTCAGTGTGTAATTATGTAGTAGCTTTATCCTAATAAAGAAATGTTTTTCATCCTAATTTGTTTCTTATGCTTCAAATCGTAACTTTTTAAATTTATTTTCACAATATAAAAGACTCACAAAGAGCCTCAAAGATTTAATAATTTTTGTTTTAACATTTACAAGCAGTCAACCAAACTTTGTCCCATAGCCCGAGCTCTCTGATAACTAAGGAATATCTTTCGTAATACCTTTTGCATTTCTTTCTTTCATGTAATTATGTGTTAAGACTTTTCCAGTATAAAGGTAAAATGATAAACTTCTTGTGTTTTTATATCCTTTCTGTGCTTATGTTTACGCACTTAAAGCAGTGACTTGATAGGAACTTTTTGTGACTGCCACATATAAATGTAGATTTTCTGCCATGTTTCTTTCTCTTCCTGTTTTCTTTAATGCGCTAAAGAATAACTTCATTAGTCAGTAGACAATCTTTAGTGGAGCCAAATATCAATATACATTAGTATTACATTTTGATGTAGGGTAGTAGATGTCCTTAAAGGTTGTAATGTGAGGTTCTTTACATTGGTTGAATGTATAAATCATTAACTGATATAGTATCATTTTCACATTTTTACTATATTGTGATCATAAATTAACGGTTCTGGACATTTTACTTTTTTTTTCTTTAGGTCCCAGTTTGAACTTCAGCTCACCAAAAACATCCATCTACTATTTGAAGTTTTTAGCTGAAAATAAAATAATAAGAAAATAAAATAAATATGGATATAACTGACATTCTTATAACCATCCAATCTCTGTTTACTGTATGTGGTTATATATTATTTAAGAATTTTATTTTCACTAATATTTTATAACCCTCTTAGTTTAGATCCATTGTTTACATTTTTCATTCACAAACATCTGAGTCTGTAATATCTGACGTTTAAAAACTCTTTAAAACGCAGATTTAAACGGATCTTTTGTGCACAATAAGAATCAGACAGAAAACGAGACTAACTTTACTGTACAACTTGTAAAAAAGTGGAAATTTAACCACAACTCAGAAATTCACTAGAAGCAGAGAGGCACCTGATGATGATGATGATGAGTTATGTTTATATAAGCAGGGTGGGGCTTTGCAAGTTAAAGAGGATGAATAAATGAATAAAATAAATAATCAAGGAAGTGAACTGTGTTGATGTAAACGATTCTCTTAATTCAAACTGTGTTTATATGAAATTAACTTCAGCGCTTTCGGATTGTTTCACAACGCATTTCTCTCCCTCACTTATAAACCCAATAAACTGACCTGAAGCGCATACAACATTATGTTATAGGAAACTATTAACCATTAACTTTCTTTAATGTATTATGCCGAACCAAATGCACAAAGAAAAAAAGTACACATTGAAACACAATGAATAATCATATGTGGAAATTTGCTTGCACGTCTTTTTTGTCTTTTTCATTCAGTTTGAGTGAAAACACCTGCAAATTGCAAATATTACACTTTTTATTGCAAAATTCATCATTGTCTTGATATACTAACTGTATTCACAGTTTAACAGTCTGTCATATGAAAGGTCAAGTGGAAACGAACGATAAAAGTGTATAATAAAAATAATAATAATTATAATAATCATAACAATAATTCCATATAAATATATTGAACTGTGCTCCACAGAAACTGTTTTTTAAAGCTTCAACACAAGAGTTGAAAGAAAGAAAAAAATACAAATATTATTTCGGGGTGACAAAGTTTCTGGCCAGCATCAGTCCCAGGAGGGAACATTAACGTACATTCATTCAGATGACATTACTGCGGCAGAAATAAAACTGGCCCCAGGAGGGAACTTTTAATGCATGCAGCTTTTTATAACAAAACATTTATAATTCGGATTTTTCTATGCATTTAATAATAATAATACATAATAATAAAATGATAATAATATAATAATGCCATAATAATAATAATAATACATAATAATAATAATGGGAAAAAGGACAACAAAGTTGGCACATGGCATGTCTTGGATTAGCCTTGATTAGTGTTGACATCAAAGATTGGGAGGAAATTCTTTATGAAGTTTTACATAAGTAAAAATAAAAAACCGGTGAGTCAGGCCTCTGGGACAGGACAGGACCGGACTGGTATATATGCCCGGGCACTGTCCACTAACACCACCACTTAGGCGGACACACACACACACCACACACCACACACACTGCCCTTGTCCCGCCACAGGAAAACCATCAGTCTGGCGTACAATACGAGCCTAAAAGTGATATCATATGCCAGGTGTTGCGAGACCTCCATTAGTATTGATGGTTGTAAGCCGTCGGGCGTTCGCAGTCGCAGGAGTAGACATACGGGAAAGCCACACTGTTCTGGTACAATCTAAACCCATCAACCCAAACAGGACTGCCTGCTCTGTGTAAAAAGTCCTCCTACAGGTAATACTTGCACGTTTTCTTCCTCGCGTCCGAGAAGGTCTCGCGCTCAGACAGGGACCTCGCATGTCTGTGCGATAATGGCTCTTTCGAGCTCCTGTAGTGGCGCTCTGGTCTGAAATCCAGAGTATTCCTTAAATTCCATTGTGGTCTCCGTGAGCAGTGCATGAGACGTGGCCGTATCTACTGCTGCATCTTCCAGTGCTCACGAATACCTTTCATGGTAAAAGCTGGCCTCCAGCTTGAAATATCGTGTCTCTTGGCAGAAGGATGGTGCGCGTTTTCTTCTTGGCACCATGGCTTTGGTGTCCGCGCCGGCACTGTTGTTGCTGCCGGCTCGGACGCGTCCTCGGCGGTGTGCGGCGCTGCTGAGCCCCCGGGACAGGAAGCCCGGCGGTCAGCGGCGGTGTGTTATTTCCACCCGCGGTCCGCCCACGGATGCGACTCTCGGGCTTCGTTTGCGCTGAAGTTGGGTGAACAGAAAGCGACACAATGTGCTTTGATATGCAGCTGGCGCTAAAGGCAATATACTACGTGATACATTTGAGCTCTATAGTGGTCGTGTCTTCATTTTTCTTCTGCCGTGCGAAACACATGCGTGAAGAAATCTGCGCATTTAAAAGATCGATGGTGTAATCTGGTTTAGATAATTTTAAATCCCAAGTAATCCCGCCAGCCGTGCACTATAGTAATGAGTAATACGTTATTAGTAAAGTTGAGGTAATGATTCATCAGTTTGTCGTTTTTTAATCCATTTACGCATCAGTTTACCTCTAAACACCGCGTGTATAGCCTCTTGCAATGAGGTGTGTCTAACTCCTTGTCTATTAGCTGTGGCTTAGAATCAGTTGTATGACATACTAATCGTCAATGCTGCTGAGAACGTGCTGTATAGTGACACCTGTCAGTTACGTGGTCCTCCTTTTCGTGCTCCGCTGTCGTGCCCTCCTCGGGACGTCCCACACCTCATCGCACGCGCTTGGCAAATCCTTCTTCTCACTGATCCTGTTCTCCGTTACCCGTCCAGGATCTCGCGTCGTCCCGCTGCTTCAGGTTCGGGGATGTGTCGATGGTGAACGGTCAAAGAAGCGCTCCGACTCGGGTGCGTCCTCTTCCTCATATTCCCGGCATTTCATCTGCTCCTCCGAGATTTCCGAAAACACCGGACGCCGCCTTTCGGACGCCTCCGAGCCACCATTGCTCCTCGGCTTGCGACTAGAGCACAGACTAGAGGAGGGGCCGGGTGCGACGTTCTTCAACGACCCGGAGACTGCGGTTTAGCAGCTTTTTGATTGGTGAGCGTTGTGGGGCAGCATGAGGGCGGGATGGCAGGATTTACGTCTGGCTGCCATATTGTCTGCTTTAAACTCTTTTCTTGTCATCGAAATTCATTCACTGCTCGCTTGATGCGCCTAAAACCGAGCTCCTTTTGAACTTCAGAGTCCTTGGGAAGAGTCTGCATCGACTGATCGACCCCTGTTATTGCTGGTTGGTTGATATCAAGAAGTTGGGTACCACTTTGACCGATGTTGCATAAGACTTGGCTGGTCGATATATTGCTTGATTTTCTAGTGTACTTTGACTACCTCGGTGCGTCCTTGGGATTGACGACGATTCATTATAGTGACGCTTAAAGGAT